AAACCCGACAAGGTCAAGGTCTGGGCGGTCGGGGTGGGAATACTGGCTACGCAGAGCGAGCGCAATAGGGAGGGGCAGCGTGAAAGAAGCATGGGTAGCTGCTCCGTGAAACAGCGCGAGCGACTACAGGAAAACCTTGAAACCCTAAACCCTAAACCCTAAAACCCCAAACCCCTAAAGCCCTACACCCTAAAGCCCGACTCAAACGAGCCCAAGCCCACCTCGCTGGGAGCTGGAAACATGGAAAGGGCCGCCCCTCAGAGGCCAAGGCGCCGAGGGTCGCGGGCGCAAGCCATCCCGCGTCTCAGCTTCACAGCCATCACGGTTTAGGGTTTAGGGGTTTAGGGTTTAGGATTTAGGGTTTAGGGTTTAGGGTTTAGGATTTAGGGTTTAGGGTTTAGGATTTCGCGTTTAGGGTTTAGGGTTTAGGGTTTAGGATTTAGGATTTAGGGTTTAGGGTTTAGGGTTTAGGGTTTAGGGTTTGCAGAGGGTTCGGGTTTAGGGAAGTACAGGGTCGTCTTCCGGGCTCTGCTTGGGGTGTCGGGCGCCGAGAGTCTTGGGGCTTGCGCCGCTCTCTGGAGGGTTTAGGGTTTAGCGCTTCAACAGAACGCGACGTGGACTGGGGTTGGGGAAGGGGGTCGTCTGCTTCTTAGGCTTTGCAGCCAGGAAAGATGCTTCCTTTGCTGTGGGCCAAGGAGGCCAGGGAGATGTCGCCCGGACTCACCAATGCTTCGACCTAGCAACCCAAAAAACACACATACCCCAAATCCAAACATCTGAAACCGGTAGAACCCTTAAACTCAAAAACTCTCAAAACCCTAAAGCCTTAAACTCTAAAATCCCTTAAGCTCGAAAACCCCAGAAACCCTGAAAGCCCCGTGAACCCCAAAAAAACAAACAAACACCCTTAAACCCTGAAGCCCTAGGACTCTTCTCCGGTGTGTGAATCGGGAGTCCCACGGACATCCTACCGGAATCTTAGCGCGGGACTCTTGCATCAGCTCACAGTATATCTAGCTACAGTGCTTCTAGGGCTTCAATAGGGCTTATAGGGCTCATAGGGCTTACAAGGCTCACAGGGCTTATAGGGCTTATAGGGCTTACAGGGCTTATACGGCTTGTAGTGCTTATAGGGCTCATAGGGCTTATAGTTCATAGGGTTTGTAGGGCTTTTAGGGATTGGAGATCTACAGGGTTGGGTTCAGGTTTTGTAGGGGTCCTTTTCAGCCCTGAACCCGAGACCCTTAACCCGAAAGCTTGCACAGCCCTGCTTTTTGCAAGCTCCTGCAGCTTGTCCACGGTTTTGCAGCAGCGTCTGCGGATCTAAACGACATCCCAGGCAGTTTGAACAACCTTGGTCCATAAAGAAGAGATGGCCTATTGAGTGATGCTTGCGTCGTTGGAGTAGTACTATCATAGCTACTGTCATCAGACCTACTTGTGTCTAACACAGAAAGTATGTTCTACATTGTGGTCCATATTAGAGTCGGTATTGTAATGAATGGCTTACTATTAAAAAAAGCCCCCCTACAGTGTGTGCGCGTGTGCATAAGAGAGAGAGAGAGAGAGAGAAAGAAAGAGAGAGAGAGAGAGAGAGACAGAGAGAGACAGCGAGAGAGAGAGAGATAGATATAGATATATATATATATATGTATATATGTTATATATATATATATAGATCCATCTATCTACATCTATACCTATATGTATATATATATATGAGTTTCATGTATGTTCGTTTACTTATTCGTTTGTATCTGGATTTATAGACACAGACCTGCTTTTGTGGTTTTTGCTTGGTGGTGCTGGTGTTGCCGGGGTGGTGCTACGGTTGAGCTGGGGTGGTGCTGCTGTGGTGCTGCTAGTGCTGCTGTTGCTGCTGGTGCTGCTGCTGCTGCTGCTGCTACTGCTGTTACTGCTGCAGCTCCTGCTGCTCCTGTTGACCTGCCACCATCGCTATGACGACTATTACGGTTCGTAGTGTTCAATAGGTGTGACCTTGATTAAGCTTTGTATCGTCGTCGTGGCAGCAGCAGTAGGTGTAGAAGTAGTCGTCGTCGTAGTAGTAGTAGTAGTAGTAGTAGTAGTGGTGGTTAATAGCAATACTAGCAGCAGCAGAAGCAGAAGCAGCACGGGCAGCACAGTAGCAGGGGTAGTCGTAGCGAGCAGCGTGGCAGCAGTGGCTGTAGTGGTAGTGGTAGTCGTGGCAGTCGTGGAAGTCGTGGTTGTCGCGATAATCGGGGTGGTGGTGATCGCTGTGGTCGTTGTGGTCGTCGTTGTCGTCGTTGTCGTTGTGGTCGTCGTGCTCGTCGTGGTTGTCGTGGTAGAAGTGGCAGCCGTGCTAGTGGTGGGTAACAGCAGTAGCATAGCAGTAGCAGCAGCAGTAGCAGCAGCAGTAGTAGTAGCAGTAGTAGTAGTAGCAGTAGTAGTAGTAGTAGTAGTAGTAGTAGCAGGAGCAGGAGCAGCAGTAGCGGTAGCAGCAGCAGCAGCAGGAGCAGGAGCAGGAGCAGGAGCAGGAGCAGGAGCAGGAGCGGGAGCAGGAGCAGGAGCAGGAGCAGTAGCAGTAGCAGTAGCAGAAACAGTAGCAGTAGGAGTAGTAGTAGTAGTTGTTGTTGTAGTAGTAGCAGCAATAGCAGCAGCATCAGCAGCAGCAGCAGCAGGAGAAGTAGTAGCAGTAGTAGTAGCAGCAGCACGAGCAGGAGCAGGAGTAGGAGCAGGAGTAGTAGTGGTCGTCGTGCTGTCGTCGTTGTCGCCATGGTCGCGATGATGGCGCAGATGTTGACTGGTAGCAGGGTGATTTCTAGCCGTAATGACACCGTAACACTAACATATGGTCGTCTCCTCAGCAAAGCTTGAGTATGGCTTCAACAAGCACCAGCCCCGAACCATCCTCGAACCATGAAACCCTGGACGCAGTAAGTGGCTGAGTAGCGAGCAATGAGAGTGGTTTAGCGAGCTTGCCATTCACTAGATGCTCTTTTGGACCGTAAATCCTGGTGTCAAATGAAGAAACTGCGTCGGCAGAAGCACTTCCCGGCTGGATGCGAGGGCCACTGAACATCTCCATCCCAAGACTAAGATCCCAAGTCCACCCACAACTTGAGACGCATCATTCCGCACGATGTCTTTCAAAGTACCTTGCTAGCTGGCACCCTTTCACCTAATTTTTACTGTCAAAGACTCACTAGCGTGCTCGACACGATGAAGCTGGCTGATCAACACAAAGCACAAAAGTTAAGGTGATCGTCGCTGTCGTAGTAGTAGTAGTAGTAGTAGTAGTAGTAGTAGCAGTAGCAGTAGTAGTAGTAGTAGTAGTAGTAGTAGTAGTCGTCGTAGTCGTAGTTGTAGTTGTAGTAGTAGTAGTAGTATTAGTAGTAGTAATAGTAGTAGCAGTAGTAGTAGTAGTAGTAGTAGTAGAAGTAGTAGTCGTAGTAGTAGTAGTAGT